ACGAGTGATGAGACGGTGGTGCATGCTTTACGCTTGTGTCCAAGCTCACAAGAGGTTATTTTTCTCCATGGTTTTCCAGCTTGGATTTTTCTTTGTATTGTTGATGGTCCATTGTTGTGTTTTGAGGACTGTCTACTTGTGTTGTGAATTTAACAATTTGCTAGTTTGAATCTTTGGAACTTGTGGAATGGGCATAACTCGTTTGTTCATGATAATAGGTTACAACCTAATTGGATCCTTGTTGCTAATGCTCATGTTATTCATTGAGATTTTCTAGAGGCTTCTCGCACGCATCGCTGTGGTTATGGTACTGGTGGTGTTTCTAGTTTAGATGAATCGGTGCCTACTGTATCCTCTTTCCATTGGTGTCCTCTAATTCGCGATGTGGTGAAGATTAATTTGGAGGTTCCTTTAACCCGGGGTCCGATTGTATTGCTGTTGGAGTTGTGGCTCGTGACCACGAGGGGAGAGTCTTGGGTGGTTTAGCTCAGGCTATGCACAGTGTTGGTGATCCGAGTTTAGCCGAGATTTATGTTTTTAGTGTTGCTTTATATTTAGCCTGTGATAACGGATGAGAGAATGTACTTTCTGAATCTGATCATGCTATTTTGGTGAAGAAACTGCTTCGTGATGATGAAGATTTCTCTACCTTGTCTTGTCATCTTCGACTAGTGAAGGAATGTTTCTAGGATTGTCCTAGTTTTCACGTTTCTCTTCTTTAACGTTTTTGTAATTCGGTAACAGATACTTTGGCCAAATGAGTTTGTATATCCTTTTCTTCACTATTTTTTTTAACTCGGTTTGTCCCGAGATTATCTATTCAGAGGTGACAAACGATGTACGGTTTATTTGATTTATGCAGTTGAACACTCTTTTTCCCTCGAAAGCTCAACACCTTGTGTTGATTAGGAGGGGTTTTTTAATGATGCCCGTTTTCCTTAAAAAAAAAAATACTTTGTTGAGTGCCTCGACTATTAGAAACTATGGCCACTCGACTATATGGTGTTGTTTTGTTGAGTCCCTCAACTATTAAAAGTTACAAAATGGTCATTTTATTATTCATTATGTTTCAAACTCATATTTTTTATTAAAAAATTGACGACAATCTAAATTGGACATTAACTTGCTGACTAAGATATGATAAAATTTGATCTCATAATCTCAAACAACTATCATGTCCCAATAAACATGTTAACATCCAACACAGGCGATCGTCAATTTTCAATGGAAAAGGACGAGTTTGGAAATAATGAATAGTCGAGTGATTATTTTGTAACTTTTAATAGTCGAGGGACTCAACAAAGTAAAATCCTATAGTCGGATAACCATTTTGTAACTTTTTGTAGTTGAGGGATTCAACAAAACAACATCCTATAATTTTAGGACCATTTGGGTACTGTATGTAATTTTTAAGTGTTATTTTGATTAAAAAATATTATTTTTAATAATTTAACCTAAATAATAGACCCTTTAAGATGAAACTTCATTAATTTATAGAATTTTCGTCTTATTTAAATTAATTTAAAATATTTTTTTGAACAAAAGCGAAAGTGCCAGCCTCTTTTTTGCTAAAACCAAACAAATAAATAAATAGTTCTTAGGAATCAAAATAATGTTTTATAGCTTTGGACCATAAAAATAAAAGATAACAAATAAATGAAAGTAAAAACTGTGGCCGACCTTTCCCTTTCTCTGACCAAAAATAAAACTTTAAAACGTCCATATCAGAGAAATAGCAGAAACGGAGCAAAATCGAGCCTGTTCAAACTTCAAAGAACCTTAGAAATCACCCCTGGGGGGGTCGATCCATCTTCTATCTTCATCAGCTTGTTCTATGATTTGACGGGGGCTTCCTCTATCCAGAAACTGTCGCATGATCCCATTCCTTCTCCAGCAGCTAGCAGGTGAGCAGCTCGGTTGTTGTTTCGAGGTGTAAATCTAAAGGCACATGAACTGAAAGCTTCCGATCGTCGTCGTGCTTCCTAGATATAGGCGCATATTTCAGAAAAATCCGGATCGGTGGAAGATAGTCTGGAAACGACAGATCGTGAGTCTCCTTCAATTATTACTTCCCTAACTCCCAAATCAAGAGCAAAAAACTCCGCATGCACTGCTGCCTGTGCTTAAGCCACGAAAGGCAAGGTAATTCTAGGTGAAAACCTTCTGCATGCTCCCATGATTTTCCCTTTCATTGTTCCTAATGATCACGCCTGACCAAGCTAATTGATGTGCTTGGGAGTATCGGGCATCAAAGTTGACTTTTACAGTATTTCCTGGCGGTGGTGACCAATGAATCACAGCAGAATGCGAAGGGCCTTGGAGACAGGCGTTTGCCGTGGCAAAATCCAAGCATTGGGAATTGAATTTCCTCAATCGTAAGTCGTTTACCTTCATGAATCTGAATATTGCGACAGTACTATAACGCCCAAATTGACACAAAAATCTCGGTTGTTTTGGACGAGGGAACATGAGTCATGAGCCACTCAAACCATTCTAGGAAATCGACATCCTCCATATGATTTGGCCATTCAATACCAAGGTGTGCCCAGACCTCTCTAGACAAGCAGCAATCTTTCACAATATGCACAGTGAATTCTAAGATGTGGGAACATCGGGGGCAGCAGGGGTTATTCGTAATTCTTTTGATGAATAAATTATTCTGTGTGGGAACAAAATTCCGTACAAATTTTCAAACCTGAATTTTAATTTTTCGTTGACATGCACTCGTCCAAAGTTTGTTAAGGACGGCAGAACTTGTAAAGAGGGTAGCACCCTCATGCAGTAGCATGCGATACCCAGTACGAACACTGTATATTCCTGTTTTTTCGCCACCCCACACACGACAATCCTCCTGGACAAAGCAGCACAGAGGGATAGATAATATATCGTTGGCATCCCTAGTCAAGAACATGGAAAAAATAATATCTTCCTTCCAGTTAAAAGTATTAACATCAATTAAATCCACAACCCAATTAACAAAAGCAGTTCTGGGGGATTCAATTCCCTGGTAGCCAATAATCGTTCCAAATGGAAATAGAAGTCCCCGACCATACTTTCCATATAAGACCTTTCTCGAGTAAGCCCTTTGTACACCAAATACTCCACCAAATGTAAGAGGGTCGACTTCCCAATCTCGAGTTAAGAAAATCACTTTGGGGAAAATACTTGGCCCTGAGAATCCTCCCAACCAAAGATATAGTATTAACAATTAGCCTCCACCCTTGCTTTGCCAGAAGAACTATATTAAACTTAGCCAAATCACGAAAACCCATCCCCCCTCTCTCTTTTAATGTGCTAAGCGTTTGCCAAGTACACTAATGAATCCCACGCTTCGCCTCTAATTTCTGCCACCAAAATCTGGCCATTATCCCTTCTAATTCTATACATAGACTCTTGGGTAACAAAAAACAATTCATGGCATAAAAGGGGAGAGCCTGCAACACTGACTTGATAAAAATTTCTTTTCCCCCTTGGGATAAAGTTCTTACGCACCAATTATGGATTCTAGACTTGTATTTTGCCTTAAGGTGCTGGAAGGCCCTTTTTTGTTACGACCCACTATAGTAGGAAGACCCAGATATTTTTCGGGATTCGATGAGTTGTCAACTTCAAGAATTCGCGTCACATCATGTCTGTTTGCCTCAATCACATTTGAACTAAAGAAAATGCCCGATTTATCAAAGTTAATGTTCACCTCAATCACGTTTGAACTAAAGAAAATGTCCGATTTATCAAAGTTAATTAACTAACCCGAGCATTCTCCATAGATTCGAAGAAAGTCTTTTATCCGTCTTGCCGAAGTTGCTGTTACCTCCCCAAAGATGAGACTATCATCCGCAAAAAGGTGTGTGATCGAAGGTGCATACCTATTGAATTTTACCCCTTTCAAAGAACCAGATAGATCGGCCTATCTCAATAAGGCATATAGTCCCTCGCTACATATAAGAAAAAGGTACGGCTCAGGGGGTCGCCCTGTCGAAGACCACAGTTAGGCTCAAACACAGGCCAGAAACTCCATTCAAAACAACCAAATAGGTTATTGAGCAAACACATCTCTTCAGGATATCAATCAGTTCTGAAGAAAAACCCACGCGGTTCATATTCTTTCAGATAAAGGACCATTCAACGCGATCATAAGCTTTGCTCATGTCTAATTTCAGAGCAAAGAAACCCTGAAGTCCTTCTCTCCGTTGAACAAACGACTTCAGAATCTCGTAGGTAGTTATGATATTCTGTTATCAACCTGCCTGGAATGAAGGCGCTTTGTGCCTCACAAATACATAAATAGAGCATGTGTTGTAAGAGATGGACTAACATTTTGGAAACAATTTTGAACAGCGCATTACACAAACTAATCGACAATGTGTGAGTTTTGTTGGGGAATCAATCTTTGGAATTAAGACAATGTGGGTACGATTTATTTCTTTCATGTCATAACGCCCTTGTAGAAGGCCAATACAATACTCAGCAATCTCGGGTCCAATCAAGTGCTAGAATCTCTGATTGAAGAGGGCACCCAATCCATCTTCGCCTGAAGCCTTGAGCAGGCACATGGATTTTACTACTGTAAGAACATCATCTGCCGTAAAATCCAGAAGTAAGACTGAATTCATGTCAGTCGTGATGCAGGGTCTAATTCCATTAAGGATTCTATTATCAATCACGGGCTTAGTGGAAGTGAAAAGATCTTGAAAATACTGTCTAGCCACACCCTCCATGCCAGTGTCATCATCAAAACGCTCGCCCTCATCCGATTCTAAAAATGGGATTCGATTACGTCGTTTCCATTAGTAAGAAAAACGGTGAAAGAAAGCAGTGTTATTATCCCCATTTTTAAGCCAGTTTGCCCTCGCCCTTTGCTCCCAATATAATTCTGCTTTATCCATCTCAAGGTTTATCTGAAGCTTAGTGTCCACCAACTCACCAACCACATCATCCGTTGGTATTTGCTCAATTAGATCAGCAATACGCTTTTTTAAGTCATCCATAGTCAATCGTTTCTATCTGTAAATGTCCTTAAACCAAACATCAAGCCCCTGACAAACATGATTGAGCTTTTTTGGGACCGGTCCATCAGCTTCCTTCCACAAGCGTGTGACCTCCTGTTCACATGACTCCTCCAGCAGCCATGAGGCTTCAAATTTGAAGTGCCAGCGTCTGTTAAGTCTATCAGACGAGTTTGTCTCAAGAAACAAAGGACAGTGATCTGAAAAAAATGCTAAAGGTGAGTTAATCGAAAATGGGGAAACAATAAACCCCAAGAAGAGTTAATTACACCACGTTCCAGGTATTCACGGATATTCGTCTCCACTCTGCGTCCCCTTTCCCATGTGAACCAAGGACCAGTGAATCCCATATTCGTTAAACCACAATTTTCCAAAGCCTCCATGAAATCTGACATTTGGCGTTCACTTCTAATCTGACCTCCTCCTTTTTCAAAAGCGAACAAAATCTCGTTAAAATCACCGATCACAAGCCAAGGTAATTCAGAAGAATCATGAAGGCCTCTGAGTAAATCCCACGACTCATGTCTTCGGGGTAATCGGGTGCATCATAAAAGCCATTGCAACGCCACACACTACGAACATCGCCGTCCGCAATGATGATATCAATATGAGTATTGGAATATGAACATAACGTGACCTTACAATCAGAACGCCATGCCATGCACAAACCTCCTCTAGTACCAATTGCATCCACTTCAATACCGTATGGAAACCCGCATAACTTGCGTATTCTCTCCATCCGTGATTTATGCAGTTTTGTCTCCATCAAGAAAACTACAGAAGGGTTAATATCTCTCAGCAAGTGCCAGGGACAATTTTCTGTTCGGGGCTGCCCCAAACCCCGAACGTTCCAGCTCAATATTTTCATTGGGATCGGCTGGCCCGATTCTGCAGGCCTGCCAATATTGATGATTGCATGGAAGATAAATTATTCTCCTTATTGAGAGCCTTAGTCAGCGTTGTGCTTCGCTGTCGCTTGGTCCCTTCCTGTTTAAATAGGTGTATCCTCCTCCACGGCCACCATGTGAACATCCAGTTGAAGCATTGAACCAGTAGCACCCGAATCACAAAACCCAACTCCATACCCATACCCCGCCTCCTTTCTTTACTCAGATTATTTACTTCTACCCATTCCTCACGCAGCCAAGGACTCGGGGTGTAGTGACTTCTTCTCGAAGGCACTCGCTGAGACAAGTCCCACTATAACTTGAGGTCCTAATTCTCCTGTAAAATGCGTAAGGGAAAATCCCTTGGTGTGCCCCAATTTCCCACACAAAAAACAAAAGGTCTTCAGTTTCTCATACTGAAAAGATACATAACCCACCTTGCCATATGATAAGGCTAGCTTTTTCTTTCGCTTTAGGGGTTTTCGCACATCCAAACGAACACGTATCCTGATAGTACCCCTATAATCCAACGAGACAGTCGTTGTATAGTATTCAATGAAGGGTCCCACAAAATTCCCGAGCAACTTCGCAACTAGTTCCGAGATAAATCCCACCGGTAAATTGTTGACCCAGACCCATAAATCAACAAACTGTAAGTCCATCCCCATTGGATCCTCGCATTCCTGCATCCTATGTATTATCAACATGGATGAATTAAAATACCAAGGACATTCCTTTTCAATGCGGTTAGCATCCACAACATGATACAACCTAAATAAGAACCTGTCTTCCCCTAAATATGTGATTGACACTCCCCCAATCGGCCGCCAGACATTTGCCAACATCGTTCGCATGGCCTAAAAATTAATATTCCCTCACGATAGAAATTTTCCCACAAAACAATTATCAAAAGAGACTAAAGAAACCCCTCCCGACTGCGTCAATGACAGTACTGCTTCCTCCTCCTCCCCCAAATTGAGACAATCCATATCCCTCTCAATATCACCCATAATGCCCAAAAAATGAAGTGAAAAAGTAGGAACAACCAACCCACAAACCAGTAAAGACTGAGATGAACTCAGCAGAACGTACACGACAGCCGAGAAAAACTAACCACAAGGCAGAGAAAACCCTAATTCAGGGGTATAATACGTAATTAATTTAAAATATTTGTAATATGATTTGTTTGATAAAAGATATTATATTTTTATATTAAATAAATTCTAAAACAGAACATGAACTAAAATTATTAATAGTCTTGTAATCATAAATATATCTATTAAAATTTTGGTATCATTATATATTTTTTTTTTACTTTTACAAAAAACAGATGTAATAGAAGAAGTGAATACAAACAGAAAGGATTCTGACAAGATCTGTTTGTCCAAAAACTTTCTTTGTACATGTCCATAATGATTTTGCATTGGATTATACATTAAAATTGGAAAAACATACTTATCCTTATTAAGTTGGATGAGTTTATAGCACACGTCGCATGTCGCACACCGCAATATATTACTAAAATGATGTACTGATACATACCACTAATTAAATTATTCTTATTTAGTAAATAGTAAAAGAATAAATTATATGTTTAGTACTTACACTATCATTTTTATTCGTTTTAGTACGTAAACTTTATTTTTGTTAAAAACATTAATAATAATGTGATGTGGCATAATGTGTCAATTTTTTTTATTTTTTTTTATTTCCACGTCATTTCTCTATTTCTCTCTCATTATTTTTTAATTAATTTTATTGAATAAATTAAATGGTGACACGTGTCAACAATTATAATGATAAAATAAAAGAAATTATTCTTACTCTTAGCATGAATTAAACCTAAGACTTTTACATAAAATGCAAGGCACTCTACCATTGAATTAAGCTAGCCATTTATAATAATTTTATCATATTTTGTATTTAACTTATATAATAATATCACCACAAAATCAATATTTTCTAATGATTATAAAATTCGAATATGTGACACTTTAAATTAATGATCGAAAGTTTAGTCATTCAATAATAATGCAAATATATTTTTAAGATGAGTCTACAGCGCACGTCGCATACCGTAACATACCACTAAAGCGACATTCCAAAACACACCACTAACAAAATGTCCTTATTAAGTAAATATTAAAAGGATAAATTATATGTTTAGTACTTACACTATCATTACTATCATTTTTATTTTGTTTTAATGCTTAAACTTTTTTTTTCAAAATCATTAACAACAATGTAGATGTGGCATGACATGTCAATATTTTTTTTAATTTTTTTAATTTCCACATCATTTTTCTATTTCATTGTTAGTATTTTTTTTATTAAATTTATTCAACCAATTAGTTGGTGGCATGTGTCACCAACTATAATGATAAAATAAATGAAAGTATCCTCTATTGGTATGAATTGAACTTAGGCCTCCTACATGAAATGCAAGGCACTCAACCATTGAATTAAACTAGTCATTTATGTTAATCTTTCATATTTTGTATTTTATTTATATAATAATATCACCGTAAAATCAATACTTTCGGATGATTATAAAAGTCAAATATGTAACACTTTAAATTAATGATCAAAAGTTTAGTCATTCAACTATAATGCAAATATATTTTTATTATATCAAACTTAATACTTGTTTCATTATTAAATTAAAGAATAACTTTTCACTTTATTTGGAAATAAAAAATAATTAAATAATTACTTTAATGTATATATAAAATTTATATTAAATTATTCTAAAAAGTTTATTTATAATAGTATGAAAATATTTATTTTTTTAAATTCACATTATTTATTTATTTATTTGAAATAATATTATTTTTAAACTATCTATTTAATTTTAAATAATATTGTACGGAACTAAAGTGATATTTGGTTATTAAATGCATAATTTACCCTAAATTTAAATTATTTAAAATTAAATTATTAATTTAAAACTAATATTATTTTAAATAATTAATTAATTGAATTTAGAAATAAATAAATATTTTTATAATATTATAAATATACTTTTTATAATTATTTCATAATATTTTTATAAAAATATAAAAATTATTTAATTATTTTTTTATTTTCTGAATAAAGAAAAAATTTAGCTTTTAATTTAATAATGATACAAGTAAGTATTAAGTTTAGTATAATAAAAAAATTCACACTATAGTTGAGTGAGTAAGCTTTCAGTGATTAATTTAAAGTGTCTCATATTTGAATCTTATAATCATCGAAAAATATTGATTTTGATATGATATTGTTATATAAGTTAAATACAAAATGTGGCAAAATTTACCTAAATGACTAGTTTAGCTCAATTTATTCTATAGGAAAAAATTATAAATACAAATATCTAATCAATCTAAAATTAATCTCTTCATATTATTAATAAATCTCGCATGGAAACTCATCAAGTGATTTCAGTGGTAAAAAAAAATGTTGTTCTCTTTATAGATTCTGAATTTGAGTACTTGAATCTTTAGAATTTGTGTTGTCAATTTGTTATGAAAATTCTGAAAATATATTATTTTGTGATCATTATATACTGTTAAAAAATAAATAAATCTAATAATATAGCATAATTTATATTTTTCAATGATGACATGAAATTACCTTATGGAAACACATTCATATCATCGTTAATTTTTTAACGCCAAGTGATCAAAATAAAACCAAAACATAATATTATATATGATTTTAAGAAAAAATAGTTGAATAGCCAAAACATAACCACACTAATACTTGAATGACCTACAATTGTAATTTATCTATGTTTTTTTATACATTGCTCTTATAATTGTTAGTATTTTTTTATCGGCCATGTCTGTTTCTTTTTCTTTTATTTTGTTCTTTAACATAATTGGTCTTTAATCTTTTTATTTTGATGATAAAAATTCAAATGATCAATAATTATTCAGGAAAATTAATAAAATCATTAATAATTATCGATAATTTTATGGTATAAAAAAGAATATACAATAAAATATTGTTTTATTATTATCCAATTATTATTCTAAGGTGATTACAAAATAATATATGATTTAAATATTCTGAACCATTTGACAATGAGTGCTCAATCACACTGCTACAATCGTTAGTGTTAGAACCCATGACCTTTAGGAACAACAACGATTTTGTAATACCCCAAACATCGGGTCAGTGACTAAAATGTAAGGATTCAAAATTTAGTGGTTTAATTTGAATAAATTAAAAAGTTCAAGGACTGATTCTGGAAATTTAAAGACTTAATATCAAAGATTGGAGATTTGAAAAGGCATTATGGTCTTTTAAAAGGAAATGAATTTAAAATTCCTTTTTAAAGGATAAAAACATGTGAAAAAAAGGAAGAGAAGGAAAAAGAAATATATGGAACCATCAATTATCTTCTTCTTCCTCTTTGCCCGTGGAAACCATTTCAAAGGTAAGCGAAATTAAGTTGATGTTTCTTGTATTTTTGGTTTGGTTTTTAGTCCTTGGGTGATATAAAAGTTTAAGGAAAGCTTAAA